GGTCAGGCACCGTCTGCGGGGCCGCTCCCGGGCGGGGCCGCTCGCCGGTTCTCCTGAGCTGCGCTGGTCGAACTGGGCGGTGCGGCGCGGAGGGTCTGGGCGCTCCGCGCCGGAGCAGCGTTGGGTTCGCGTTTGTCAAAGTGTGTGTTTTGGTACGAAGGGGCCAAATAACACAAGCCCGCCGCGGCGTCCCGCCTGTCGCTGTAACTGTGCCTCGGTGGAACCCCGCCGAGGCGGCACTAAGCTTCGCGCAACAGTTCGGGCACAGCATACGCTGCTTGGCCCCCCCGCCCTCCACTGGCATAGAAGCAGGTGAAAATGAAGACTTGAGATTTTCTGAATATTTCTGGTCCCCATTAACGCTGAAGCACTTTAATTTTTACTTCATAAGTCCCTAAATAGAATAGGAGCTCATTCAGGATTTCCTGAAACAAGGTCGTTAAACCAAAATCATCTCTTCAGCCACGACTACTTCATGTGACGACAGAAGAGGATGATTTTTACGCTGCTCCCCTTTATTATACGTATCCTAAACAAATTTAACAGTTTTCAGTGTTTGTGTTGAGTGTCGCAGACTGACGTGACCGTGTTTTGTTAAAGGTGCAATCCAGCTTTGCAGCTTTTGCGTCCGCTTACCGTAAAGATGCAGACGTTGGAGAGAAACAGTTCTCCTGTGCTGAACATGTACTAGGGCAAAGTAACCTCCACTAACAACCCAGATACATCTCACCACCTATACCAAGGATATCTGTGAAGGAAGGGGCATTTCCAAACAAAAGGATTACGTGTCCTATGAAAAGAGGTGCAGGAAAAACATGATGGAAATGAACATGGTGTGGAAAGCCAAGGCAACAGTTTGAACAAGTTTGAAAATTTAAACTCAGAGAAATCTAAAGTGATTCTTACAGCAAGTGGTGGCTAAAATGAAGTGTATTAGGAGAAAAAAAATGCCAGATTTTCTTGAACAAAACACGGATCAAACAAAAAGACAAGCTTTTACAAAGTTTTTATACAAATACATTTGCAACAAAAGTGCCCAGCTTTATTACCATTCTTTCCTCTTAAACAAATCTTGACCGAATTTTGAGGTCTAAAAGAGCAGCACCATTGTCTGGCATGAAACGCAGAATTTTAAGAAGTGGAACTGGTATTCTTGTGAGTAAATAACTGAAAACTCTGAGGTGCTCATCAGAATTTAAAACAAAAACTTGAAGGAATATAAGCAGCATCTTCTGGATGGAAAGGGTTTTGCAAAATGCATGACAAAATGCTTAGACAGGTTGGGAAGCCCAGGTGCAACCCTTCTTGTCTGGAAGGGCAGGAAGAGCTGGCTTGCTGTTCCAGGGCCGTCCAGGGTCAGAGATAACTCTCACATCCCGTATTGTGTTGCCATATGGATTTTTTAGTATGTTTTAAATGACACAGATTTGTCCTACTAGAGAGACACTTAGAAGTGGCACTTTCCAGCCTACAGAGGAGGGTACAAAGAGAATCGGAACTTTTGAATAATCAACATTCTCCTTTTATGTTGCTTTTGCAAACAGTAATAAACAAATTAGGGAAGAAATGATGAGTGGCTAAAGATGTAAAAAGAGCAGACCCTTTTGTGTCTTTAGATGGAGACAGATGCCTTCAGTTGAGTGAGCTGAGCAGAGAGTTGGCAGGCAGTCAGTCGGGAGCCCCAAGCACTGGCATTTAAGCAGTCCTTCAGGAGCTGTTGGCACCTGTGTACTATGATGTCCAAAGATTGTTTAAAAGATTCGATCCTTATAGTGGCTCATCTTCAATTTTGTCATGAGTATGACTATGTCCAGCCTGATTAACCGGATGCTGAGAATTTCCCATTGTTGACCTCCTCAGAAATTCAAACCAGAACTGAATCCTTGTCCCAGCAGTCTTGATTGGTGTCTGTGTGACTGTCATTACCCCTACTACTGGTGGAGGTGATACGGTTTGAAAGCTAGCTGCTCGTAAACGTTCAGTCACTCCAGCAGAAGGTTCCTTTCAAGAGTACAATGAATGTCTTCTCATTTTAATATGTCATCATGGGAAGCTTTTTGATAATTTGATCTACTGCCAGCCATGTCATGGATCTTCTAGGACTTGTGCATCCCACATCTTTGCAATGTAATTTTAAACAAGTTAAGATTTCTTTAAAGGAAAGTGGGCCAGGCAGATATAAAACAATGATGTAAAACACACCTGGGAGCAGTGAAAGCTGGTAGTACTTCCAGTAAACATAAACCAGCGATCTCTTTGTTAAAGGATGGGACTCACAAGAGATCATGAGCTCACTGCAAGACGTGGAGTAAGTCACCTCGGTTTGCTTTGATACATTTCTTCTCCAGTAGTCAGAGCTGGAAATGCCAAAACCATTCGTGTTTATAAACCATTAGTGGTCCTCAGTTCTGAGATGCTGCGGCACTGTCTAACGTGGCTGCATTGATAGTGCTCACAAGCTTGATGTGGGTGACATAAGAGATATCAATGTTCTACGTTGTATGTCACTAGAGTTTTAAAACATTTTTTTTCCTCTCCTTTTTGTAGTATTACTCTTAACACATCACCAAAATGAGTGAAAGGGAAGACCAAGGAGATCCAGCAGATATGGATGATGAAACAGAAAGTGGAGAATATGAGGATGACTTTGAAAAAGACCTTGAGTGGCTAACTGATGAAGAAGAAAAAGAAAACCTTGGTGAAAGAGAGGTATTTGTTAAACTAAATGCTAGTTGTCCTATTTAGAAGACAGATTTGAGTAGTATTTGGAATCATAAGCACAAAGTTCAGTATGGTTTGAAATGTGTATGTATATTCACTGAATTTTGATAAGGAAGGTTATTTGGAATTATAGTGAAAAATAATTCAGTGAAATGGTTAGTTTGGTTATAATTGCCTTAAAACAGAGAATTCAGTGTTCATTAGAAATAGTATGTCTGTTTCAAGGTACTTCTGGGTTCCTTCAAGTGTTTGTGCAACACACATTGTTATGTTTTTATGCTGTCCCTGATTGCTTTACTGTGCAAGCCATGGTTAGTTAAACTTCATGCAGATGTGGAAACTGCGAGAGAGTCGTTAGTTGTTCGTGCCAAAAAAAGCTATTAGTTATGACATGCACTATTTGACAGCCTGTTTTAGAATTAAGGTAGCACTGCTCTCCTCTCTCACTCTTTCTTTTCTCTTTTCTGATACTGTTATTTGTTGGGAGAATAGATGAGTTTATTTTAATTTTTCCAGAATCCTGAAAAAAATGAAGAGGATATTGAAGCGCAGATTGTTAAAGTTGCTGACAAATTTGAGGAAGACAGTGACAAAATGGAGGAAAATTCAGATCAGCTTTCAGAGCCAGATGGAGATGTGAAAGTGAGACCCTCTGATGAAAGTTTGGAAACCAGGTCTGATATTAAACAGGCAGACCATGTATCTGATACCGATAGTGAAAGCTCTATCCAGGAACCCAAGCTGGAAAACCAGCAGGAACTAGACGAGGAAGAGGATGAAGAAATAAAGCGTTACATTTTGGAAAAGATTGAAGAAGCCAACAAACTGCTGGAGAATCAGGCTCCTGTGGATCAGAACAGAGAACGCAAATTAAAATTTAAGGATAAGTTGGTGGATCTTGAAGTTCCTCCTCTAGAAGATGCTGAAGTTTGTAAAACTGACCTTGCAAGAGGAGATGATGTTTCAAATAGGCTATCTCGGTTGCATATTTCTAATGAAATGGGACAGGAAAGCACATCGCTTTCACCACGTGCTGGCGAGGATGAGGAAAAGAAGGATGGTAAAATCCTAGTAGAAAAAGATGGAAAGTTTGAACTCTTAAGTTTACGTGATATTGAAAGCCAGGGCTTTTTGCCTCCAATAAGTGTTTCTTTTACTGATATTGAAACTCAACATACATCTCCAAAACCTTCACACTATGATTCTTTTGGTGCTGTCTCTCGAATGAAGGAGGTACCTTCAGTAAGACCAGGAGCACATTCTTTTTCTCCTGGTGGAGAAGAGTGTGTGTATTTCCCTAAGCCTCCATCTAACCCTAAGCGTCGTCCAAATTCTGCTATCAATGCTGCAAGAGGTCTGGGAAAACGTAAGACTCCGCAGAGGACACAGTCTGCAAATGTGCCCGTGAGAAGCTCCACTTACTGTCTTTCTCCCAGACAAAAAGAATTGCGGAAGCAGCTAGAACAAAGGAAGGAAAAACTGAGGAAAGAGGTAAAGATACAGGGGCAACAAGTAGATCACGGCGACCGTCTCGTTCATCTGCTGAACAGTGACCACATGTTCAAGGCATTTACTCCATTTTTCCATGATAAAAGAGGCAGCAATTGAGATAATAATTCTCTGGAGTTTGTGGAGAATCTCTCAAAACTCCTTTCCTTAAAAAACCCACAGAGTGGCATAGGATCATACCTTGCTTACAGGAGAAATTAAGTATTTATTTAACGTTCCCTTCATAAACAGGCTGCCTTCTGCTGCATTGTGCTTACTGCTTTTGCTGCGCGACTCCTTCTACCCAGGTTCCACTGTTCACTGGAACGTAGCACGTGGTATCGCGTCTCTACAGGTTACGCTGCAATGCAGGGAGTTAACATTAACCCCAGAAATGCAGGCGCACGTTTGGGTGCTCGTGAAGTATGTAATAGGCAATTATCATCTGAGCGACTGTTCAGTCAGAAAATAAGATTAAGGACAGGAGAACGACCGTGAGAACTATGAGTAAAGGGGGTGGTGTTTAACATGGTGGAAGATACAGCTGACTTCAGCAGTGACGTGCCTTGTTGCTTGCAGGTGAAGTCACGTTGCCCAATAAGATAACTGGATACTTTTTTCCTGTAAAGGTTTCGCATGGGTGAGCGCTGTAGCAAGTTTTCTCAAAACTTGTTGTAAAGTAGGTTTTTTTCTCCTTTCTCTGTTAATCAATACTACTTTTCCTTCTTATTTGGTTTTACCTGGGCACTACGCAGAGGGCAAAAAGAAGAAAATATTCTCAGTACTGAGGTCATTCTTCTTGTATCTATAAAGGGCAGTAATTTAAAAGAAAAAAAAAATTCTATTTTAGAAAATGAAATCCGTATCTTATGTATTGCTGGAAAAAAAAACCCTTTTAATTCTTTCTCAGCTCCTTATTCAGGAAAATTCTATTTTAGAAAATCAAATCCGTATCTTATGTATTGCTGGGAAAAAAAACTCTTAATTCTTTCTCAGCTCCTTATTCAGGAAAAAAAAATATTTACTAGTCAGCCTCTGACAGCTGTTAACGGGAACTTCAGAAATCTTTTCTAAAGATTTTAAAAACTTAGATGTTTTTCTTCGCATTGCATTGTGACGATGCAGTTACAAAAAGGTAACTTACTGTGCCTGTTGCTCTACAAAAAGATCACAAAGCATCTACCATTTTTCTATGCTGTGATGTTTTAAGTAAGCTGGCTAAGCAGCTTCAGAGGTTGCTTTCTATCTGTGGAAATAAATCTAGCCTGCTTTATTTGAAAAGTTTGTTGAGGCTTAGCTCAGTAACAAGGGGTGTGAAATGTGAAGAGTTACTGATGTCTGTTCTTTGTTTGCACAAGACTAGATCTCTTGACACCATACTCTGCATATTTAAAGTAAAAATGGTAGTGCGGTGGAGGTAAGGAAGGTTATTCTCCTGACAGTGTGTGCTAAATCTCTTCCTCTATTGGCTGACTTATGAAAAGGTAAGAATGTATTACCTTATTTCTTCATTCTTGAACGGAGTTCTTCTGTTCTGTGATGGACTTCACAAGCATGAAACATTTTGTGACGTTACTGGAATCCATCTGCTTCATTTTGGTGGGGTTTCTTTCATTTCAGTAAATTGCAAATTGTAGATTTGGAGGATAGTCTGAAAATTGTGTGTAGGTGGAAGGAACATCATCTGTTCACAAGAAAAATAGATTTCTCCAAGTGTTGAAATGAGCGGGGATTGTAGCTTTCGTGTCAGAGCATCAAAACCCAGTAAAATGTTCTCATCAGCTTTCTGAAGCATTGTTCGAAAACTTCTCCTCCTCGTAGATACTTGTTAGCTAAAATGTGATTAATAATTAAAAAAACCCTTTTTCTCAATTTCGTAAAAATAAGTACATTTTGTAAACTTGAAAAAAAGTGTTAAGCTATTAATACTCCTTAAGTAAATACATTACAACTTCATGTCCAGAGAAAAATCCTTATTTTTAAGGTAATGCTTGAAGTCTATAGGTAGTTAAACATCCTTTAGGGTTTAGTGGTCCATCAAGCCTGAGAGCTGCATTCATTTTTAAAATGCATCAGTTGAAACTGATTTTTAAGCCAATCGGAGCTAGCGGGCAGGCTTAATTTTAAAAGTCTTCACCTGTTGCTATTGAAGTGTCTGTGGGTTGAGTTTTATCATGGAAATGGAGGTCATCACAAAAAGGGTTAGACGGAAAGTATCTGAATGTAACATGAACCACAGAAGTGCTCAAACTCATTTCTTCCTAAAAGTAGTATCAACTATGATGCAGTATTTGAGTATTCCTGTGTCATCACTATTTTTATGTTTCTCTCCTGTAATTCAAATGGCTTATTTATTGTCTGTTGTGACAACGAAGGCCTCTGGAGATTAAGGTGATTGTCTCAAAAACTAAGTTTATTCACTCTTAATTCCATTCAAGGAAGAAGAAAGGAAAAGGGAACAAGAAGAACAGAAGAGAAGAGAGAACGAGATGGTTTTTAAAGCTTGGTTACAGAAGAAGAAAGAACAAGTGCAAGAAGAAAAGCGGATTCGTCGTGCCAAGGAGCTAGAAGACTTGAACAGCAAAGTAAGATCTCCCTAACATAGGACTGGGATCTATAGTGCTCTGGATAGATAAGAAACCCAAATGCCAAGCCTGTGTTCTTAGCTAAGCAGGTGAAAATTTACAGTGATAGGAAATGTTTTGCTACACTGTTTTCAGTGAAGAGCTGGATTGACTTGCATATTTAGGATTGCTCTGCTTGGCAGGGTGCTTGTGTTGTAGAAGCTGCAAGTATGAACGTAATAGCTATAAAATCACAGGAGATACAGCAATGCTCCTTTTTACCAATCAGGAGAATTACTTGACTGAACGCTGCCCTGAACAAGCAGCCACAAGACCCTTTGAAGTGTATTCCTTACCATCAGACCCTGTTGGCAGGCAGTTAATGCAGTGACTTGACCAAAACCCGAAGATTCAGATGCTCTGTTCTGAAGTTCCTCTGTCTTGCAGTGATAGGCTTGAAAAGCTAAATTCAGTATTTTTTAAAACAGACTGCTTTGAATGCTTGCTCATTATATATTCCATGCCACATCAGCATAGGCTCTAGTTTGCTCATAAAATATGTTTTGTGGATAAGAGATGTCAGCAGAGTTCAAAAAATTATTATGATGTGATTAATATAAAGCTCATTTAATGATAAGCCTCCTGTATATATGTCTTTTTTTTTTTTTTTAAATAGGAGAGGAACAGGAATCCAGAAGAAGCCTTCAAGTTATGGCTTAAAAAAAAGCACCAAGAACACATGAAAGAAAAACAGGTAGAAATTTTGAGACGCCAAGCTGAGGGAATTGCCCTTTTCCCAAGAACAGAGGAATGCAACAGAGCCTTTAAAGAGTGAGTAGAGTCGTACCTAGGGAATCATATTTGAAAATTCTGTAGTCTGTCAGCTGAAGGCTGTAGTCATTTTATGGTACATCTTTACTGCTGAAGTCCTTTTTGGGTTTTTTTTGGGAGGCTTTCACCTTAGAAAAAAAACCATCAATGCCCTGATGTTGTTTGTTCACTGTTGCAAATTACTTGTCAGAACCTGAGCTGAAATAGGGAATTGCTTCTGCTGAAAAAGGGAGATCCTTCTCCTCTACTCCTTTTGCCTGTTCTGGAACAGGCTTAGGTTGATTCATTTCATTAAACATGAAGAAAGTTAATCCAATAAAATTATTTTTTTTTTCCCCTTGAGTCCATCAGCTGAATCTGCTCAACAAAAGAAGGGAGGTATAAGTGGGCACAGAAGCAAAACTGAGATGGAAAAGTAGTACCTCCTGTGTTTGGGAGTGGCAGGCTTTTAGATTGGGTCAGTCGTGACACCTAAGTTTATCCTACAGGATGAGGTGACTCTAGATAAATGGGGGCAAGTCTTTGAATGGATGACATAAAACTGTCAGTTGCAACCCCTAGTCCTCTTTCTCTTTCCACAGATGGCTAAAAAGAAAGAGAGAAGAAAAACGAGCAGAAGAACTAGCTGCCAAAGAGAGAGCAAGGCAGCTTAGGTTGGAAGCCAGAAGAGCAAAACAAAAGCAGAACATCCACTGCATTAATTCAGAGTCTAAATCCTTTCGCTTCACAGACCATTACAGTTGAAAGTTTGATGTATCCACAGAGTTCTTGGTGGCAACCCTCTTACTTTTTATGGCTTGAGCTTTTGCTTTTTACAGGTACTGCCTTTTTGTGGTGTTTTTAAAGCTTTCGAGCAAGTTTAACAATTCCCTTCACTGACAATGATTTTACTATCTATTTATTTGTGATTTTGTTGAAAAGCCTGCTTTTATGTATAACTCAGGGATCTTCTTGGTTTGACCAAATCTAAATGAGTGCGAGATCTACATGCAAGGGTGGCAAATAAACTTTCCTGTCTTTAAAAGGCACTTTATATAATCAACTCCACCATGAATTCCTGGATGCAGGCTAGTATGTAAAACGTTGAATTTTTGCTGGATTAATATTGCTGTTTGCTGCTGCTTGTGATGAAGACTGTATGTGTTATGTTGTTGGGAAATGCTGTTTCTTGTACCACTTTCTATTCATCTGTTGACCAGCTGTTAATTCTTGCTGGACCGGAGGATTATTTTATTTTAGTTCAGGGAAAGTGGTTACTGGAAGGCTAATGTGTATATGAATGTGCAACAGTTTTTGAATCTTATTTCTGTGAGTCTTATTCAGTAGTTTTCTATTCCATTAAATTAAAAGGTTGTGTGAATTTAGCATGTTTGCTAAATTAATTATAATAAACTACATCACCTTACCCCATTAAATTGTGAACTCTTGTCAGAGAACATGCTGAGGTAACTCATCAAATCATAAAGTTAGTGAAAGATGAGGAACATTCTGTCCAGCTGTGTATCTACAGATTTCATGATCTGGCATTGTTCTGACGTTTTTCCACATTGCCAAGTCACAGAAGGAAAAGGCAGGAACTGAGAGAATGAAGAACCGCCCACTGTAGGAGAAGATCAGGTCCGAGACCATCTTAAGAACCTGAAGGTGGACAAATCCATGGGACCAGATGAGGTGCATCCGCGGCTCCTGAGGGAACTGGCTGATGAAGTTGCTAAGCCGCTATCCATCATATTTCAGAAGTCGTGGCAATCTGGTGAAGTTCCCACTGACTGGAAAAGGGGAAACATCGCCCCGATCTTTAAAAAGGGGAAAAAAGAAGACCCAGGGAACTACAGGCCAGTCAGTCTCACCTCTGTGCCGGGCAAGATCATGGAGCAGATCCTCCTGGCGACTATGCTAAGGCACACAGAAAACAAGGAGGTGATTGGTGACAGCCAACATGGCTTCACTAAGGGCAAATCCTGCCTGACTAATTTGGTGGCCTTCTATGATGAGGTTGCAGCATTGATGGATAGAGGAAGAGCAACTGACATTTTCTACCTGGACTTATCCAAAGCATTTGATACTGTCCTGCACAACATCCTTGTTTCTAAACTGGAAAGACATGGTTTTGATGGATGGACAACTTGGTGCATAAGGAATTTGCTGGATGGTCACACTCAAAGTGTTGTGGTCAACGATTCAATGTCCACGTGGAGGCCTGTGACGAGTGGTGTTCCTCAGGGGTCAGTACTGGGACCAGTGCTATTTAACATCTTTGCTGGAGACATGGACAGACATCAGCAAGTTTGCAGATGACACCAAGTTGTGGGGTGTTGCGGACACGCTGGAGGGAAGGGAAGCCATCCAGAGGGACCTTGACAGGCTGGAGAG